TCTCTCTCTCTTTCTCTCTCTCTCTCTCTCTCGTCCCCCCCCCCTCCAACCCTCAATCCTTTTAATGAACCGGTGGAGAAACTTATGTCCCTTTTGGGATATTCTTGTGGTCAATGTACCTTAAGATAGTCTCAAGGTTGTCTTCAGGCAGCTTCTTTCATGGCTAATTCTTCCTATGTTTGACGTGCAGATTCTGTGGCAGTGCTTGCATGTCAGTGTCATAGATCGAAGCTCTGTATTTCCGCTGTTTTCCTTTCGTCGTTGGCGCTTCTCAGCCTGGTTGTTTCTGAGGCTGCTCTCTAGCATTGTAGTTCTTTCCTTTATCATTTTCCTCCGTTTTCCTGTCCTCAGCTATTTCTTCCCAGATGCTGACATCTACTCCAAACTTCAATAAGTTACAAGTCAATATTCTAGAGTATGGTGTCCCCATGTTGTAAACCGTGCCTTTTTCCTCACAGAAAATTGAAGACTTCCGATCCAAGTACTCGTCTGGGACAGGAACTCAGGACATCCGCAGCGATGCCAGGAGGGTGAGTGCTGCAGCTCATGGTGTTCTCATGATGATAATGATGATGATGATGATGATGATAATGCTAGTATACAGCACCCATTTAGTTTTTCTCTCAGCTCCTGAGGAAGCCCAAGAGGTGAAACGTTGAGCTGTGTCTATTGAACAAATTTTAAACATTTTATAGTTTGATGTCATTTTGTCTGAAATTCAAACAAGACTCTCCCTCCTACTCTACTTTCCAAACGATGATGATGCTGATATTGATGATGATGATGAGGATGAGGATGAGGATTATGATAATGATGATGGTGATGATGTCATAAGATAATGACAATGATGATGATGATGATAATGATAATGAAAATGATAATAAGTATAATGATGGTGCTAATGATAATGATAATGATAATGATTATGATGATGATAATGATGATGACAATGATAACGATAATGGTGATCAATGTTCTTGGGTCATAAAGCAAAATTGTCCAGGGGGTAGATAAATCTGTTTCACTTTTTTAGATATTGTAGCTAGCTACATTGTGAGTGAGTGATGCTGCATCATGGAGCTGTTTCACTCTTTTAGAAATTGTAGCTAGCTCCATTGTGAGTGAGTGATGCTGTATCATGGTGCTTGTAGCTAGCTCCATTGTGAGTGAGTGATGCTGTATCATGGTGCTTGTAGCTAGCTCCATTGTGAGTGAGTGATGCTGCATCATGGTGCTTGTAGCTAGCTACATTGTGAGTGAGTGATGCT